TATGGGGCTACCACTGGAGCGGCTGCGCCGCCCGCCCGGGTCAGCGTGGTGCGCATGCGCGGACCCGGCGCCATTTTGGTGGCCGGGCGCGGAGGTGATTCTACACTGAGGGGGGAACGCGGCGGCAAGGGTGGCAGTGGCAGCGTTCGTGTGCTCGGGTCTGAATCACTGAGGGAGGAGGCGGTGGAGGAAGAGGTGGCGGCGGTGGCGGTGGTCGTAGCGGTGGCGGAGGAGGCGGGTACGAATCAGCTGCGGGCAGAGACATGGCCAACATCGCGGTGCAGCGAATCAAGCGGGAGTTCAAGGAGGTGCTGAAGAGCGAGGAGGTCAGAAATGAGCTACCGGACGCCCCCATGTTAGCCCGGGGCGGGAGGGCCCTTCCTTCCGCGACCCCAGCGGCCCCGGCCGGCCTAGCTGCGGCCGCCTCTACCGATGGGGAAGCGGCAGTCTCCCCTCCTCCTCCAGCCGCCTTTCCCTCCCCTCCCCGGGCCCTGGGATAGACGGGCTCGCGGGCGGCTGGGAGGCCTGGGGAGGACCGGGGTTTGGGGTGCAGATGCAGAAGCACTTGTCGGGGACACGTGAGCTCTGGAGAGAGAGCCCCGAGGCGGCGGCAACATCTGGATGTGTGACTCCGGGGTGGGGAAGGAGCAGGCCGAGAAAACCTGGGAAGTGGGTTGGGGGAAGGGGGAAGATAGTAACTAGATCCCCGGCAGCAGCGCACCTCATAGGCCCACACTTTTAGGGGGGACTCTGGGTATTACCTGCCAGGCCTTCGCTGTCTTTTCTTCGGGGAAGGCGCCTACAGAGTCCTTAGGTATAGAGGAAAGGAAGACATTCAATTACTCCCTTATAATGTTGGGGGCCCCATGGAGACATAATGGTCAGTATCGTATTTGGAAAGGACGTTGAAGCATTTTCCACTACATCTAGGGAATTAATTCTAAATTAGTTACCTGATTTCCACATACTCCACCAGTAACTAGGCCTCAGCATTGACAATGTAAAGCTTTTTGTCTGGTGAAACACAAGTTGTTTGTTATGTTAAATGATTTGGTCTGGGAAAAATAATGAAGTGAATGAGTGGCTTATTTCAAAATCCTGTTTACCAGTATCAGAGTTTCTCCTAGGGCAGTGCCTCTGTGACTAGTGCCCTGTGAAGTCTCATTGAGATGTCCCTCGTAGTTAACTTGTCTTAACTTTTGAAAAGAGCCCTAGTAAAAGCAAGCGATTTCTTCAGATACACATTGTTGTAGCTCATTATTGAGTTAGGTTTGTTTTGACACAAAATGGCATACCACGAAATAGCATATTAAAAATAAGACTCTTGCTACCCGTGAGTCCTTCAGAATTTAAATACATTAGTGCTGGCCATACATGTGTGAAATATAGAAAGTAATTTCATAATTTGACTTAGCTGTGCAAGTAATAGTACAACTTTTCAGACCCAAGTGAACAAAAATGCCAGATTTTCTGTTTGTATTTAGCAAGAAAATTCTGGAAATAGTTGTTTTTCCTCAAGGTTAACATTTCATTGTCCAGTAAGTAGTGCTATTTATGTTTTTCTTATGTGCTTGGCATTTTAATCATGTCAGTAATGATTTTTAAAATTAAGCATTTTAAGTATATGAGTAATTGTTACCATTTTTTTTTTAGCGCTCCAGCATTAATGTGTCAGAGTCTGCAGATAATTATCCATCTTTTTAAGTACACATGTAGAAAGTTACTTAAAATTGAAGTGATATATTAGCAGACTTAGTGAACAGACTAAGAAATAAGTAGTGATCCGTCTTACAAAGCATGAACTCTGACCTCTGTATTCATTTGCCAAAACTCTGAATGGAAGGATGACTTTGTACTTTTGTGGAACAATGCAGAAACAGCGTGAATGTCTGTATTCACATACATTCTAACAGTAATTTTCACTTTTTCCTTAATAAGCAAATGTACTTTGCTTATAAAGTATAAGATTATATATACTATATACAAAGGGATTGTAGATATTCTTAATGAAAGACAAGAGAATATTTTGTTGTCAGCACCTTAAAACAGTAAGATTAGACAAGTCTTTAGACCTCTAACACTTTTTAAAGTGTCAAGTTACTGCCCTGAAAATCCATATATCTGCTTTATGTGATGTGACTTTCTATTTAAGTGATGGGCTGAGGAGATGGCTGCGTGGGTAAAGGAGACTTGCTGCCAAGCCTGATGACCTGAGTTCAGTCCTGAGGACCCACATGACCTCTATACCCACACATCTAAATAAAATAAAAACTTACTCTAATGTATGAGATTTTAAAAAAAAATGTCAGTTTTTCTAAGGAAGAAAACAGGAAATGTGAACACAAGTTATCCAGGAACAGTGCCTCTGTCAATGTAGCAGGAACTTAATCCAGGAAAGTAAGCTGCAAAGAATACTAGGAAAAGATCAGATCAAATTTAATATCATAAGCAGGGCATGGTGGCTTGCACCATTAATTCCAGCACTGGGAGACCGAGGCAGGTGGATCTCTGTGAGTTGGAGGCCACCCTGGTGTACAGAGTGAGTTCCAGGACAGCCATGGCTGTTACACAGAAAAACCCAGTCTCAAAAAAAAAAAAAAAAAAAGCAAAAAACAAAAAACACACCAAACCAAACCAAAAAAAAAAACTTTAATAATGTAAAAAAGCTCAACCAATGGATAGTTTTATCCTTAACCAATATTTTGTTGATACATTATTATGTCCAGTTCCATAGGTAGGCTGTGTTAATTAATTTTCACCTCAAAGAAGAACCCATAGTGCAATCTATATATTTTCTTTTTAAGAATATAAATGTAATTTTTAAAATAGCTAATCAAGTAATTGTTTCAGCATGTCACCTCATGTAAATCTTCAGTGTACCAGGTTTGATTCACATGCTAGCGTTTAAGGATTTTGGTGGATCTAATGATTTATTTATTTATTTATTTATTTCTAATGTTTAAAAATTATTTATTTATTTATTATGTATACAATATTCTTGCCTGTGTGTCTGCCTGCATGCCAGAAGAGGGCATCAGATCTCATTTCAGATGGTTGTGAGCCACCATGTGGTTGCTGGGAATTGAACTCAGGACCTTTGGAAGAGCAGGCAATGCTCTTAACCGCTGAGCCATCTCTCCAGCCCCCCTAATGATTTATTTTTGATCTGTTTCTAAGTACTTTGTAACGATAACTCTTTACAGAGCATGCCTTTAGTCCCAGCGCTGGGGTTGGGGGAGGGGTGCAGAGGGGTGGTGGGCAGAAGCAGTGAGTTCTAGCCAGTATGGCCAGGGCTATACATAGAGAGATCGTGTCTCAAAAAATACAAGTAAAGATAGCTACCATTCACTGAATTCTGATCATAGGAATTTGCTGAATGTATTAGTTAAAATATAAACATTTAACATAAATGTGAAAGACGTAGCCAGGTATTGTAGAGAGGCACTCATGTTCGTATCGAAAGGTGAGATGTGTGTTTGCCAGTACAGTGCAGAGAAAGGATTTATGAAAAGTAGGAAAAACTGGTTGTTTATGTGTAGGGGGAAGTTGCATGACTGGGCACTTTGAACTTTGAGTCATGTGAATGGTACTTAATGAAATAAAGGTGGCATCTATTCTTCTTTCATAAAGTACTATTTGGAGATGGGCCTTTTTTTTTTAAAATATTTATTTATTTATTTATTATGTATACAATATTCTGTCTGTGTGTATGCCTGCAGGCCAGAAGAGGGCTCCAGACCTCATTACAGATGGTTGTGAGCCACCATGTGGTTGCTGGGAATTGAACTCAGGACCTTTGGAAGAGCAGGCAATGCTCTTAACCTCTGAGCCATCTCTCCAGCCCCCTGGAGATGGGCCTTTTATCTTTTAAATACTCTAGAGTATGACTGATTTTAAGTAGTGGTTGAGAGTTGCTCAGAATTAAAATTTACCTAGAATACATTACAGCTTATGAGTCAAGTCAGGTGAATTGCTACTTGTAAGGATCAACAGATTAAGCCATTCTTTAGTTTATTCATGGGTTGTATTATTGCTGCCAACTACTGCTGCTGCCATTTGCAGCATGCCCCTTCTATTGTTTATGTATTACTGCTAATTCTTAGCAATAGGTCTTTGAAGTAGATATTTTTTTAGGTGAGAATATTGAGGTTCAGAGATGTTAAATTGTCTGCAAACATGACTTTAAAATTTTGATTTGCTTATGTTAATATGCACTACACTGTCGTGGCTTGGTAAGGATAGACGTACTTTTAATTATCAAAATTGGGTCTACATTTTTATTACTTAGAGTACTTTGTATTACTTGTTAAAGCATTTAAGCACTAGTTAATGTTAGTATAAACTCATTAATTGGTACCTATAATTTAAAGGTTCACTTGAATTTCAAAATATTTTTAAATTTAAGTTCAGTGATATAAAGTGCCCTTAAATCAGTGTATAAATTGGTTTATATTTATGCTCATATCTGCCACTTTTTTAAATACACAGTTCTTAGCTATAGTTTGCTGACATTTTCTTGTATTCTCAAAGGGAATGTTTACTGTGGTATAAGCAAAGTTGTTTAATGAATTTTTAAAATATTTATTTATTATGTATACAATATTCTGTGTGTATGTCTGCAGGCCAGAAGAGGGCACCAGACCTCATTACAGATGGTTGAGAGCCATGATGTGGTTGCCGGGAATTGAACTCAGGACCTTTGGAAGAGCAGACAATGCTCTTAACCGCCGAGCCATCTCTCCAGCCTCGAAATTTTTGTTGTCTACTAAGTTTTTTTTAGCATTTATTCTTTCATAATAAGTTTAAAATTTATGAAATTTACTAGAGTTCTGGCTTGGCCTAGATTATTTTATATGCAAGTAGCTTGCAAACTTATGAAAGAATGTGTTTTGATTTCTGTAGGACATAGTTTCTTTTTCTTTCTGTTATTTCTTTTTTGTTTTTCTTTTCCTTATTTTCTTTTTTTAAGGCAGAAACTCTCCTCTTTGCAGTCCTGGCTGCCCTGGAACTCACTACTTAGACCATCCTGGTGTCGACTCCCAGAGCTCCATTTGCCTCTTCCTCCTGAATTCTGAGATGAAAGGCATGCACCACCATATCTCTCTAGGGCATAGTTTCTTAACTCTAGAATTAATGACATTTTGAGCAGTTTTTTTTTTTTTTAAATTGTAACTGGCTCTCTTGTGCATCATAAGGTGTGTCTAACACTAGTGCTCTTACTGCTGGTAAACCTACTGCCCTTGTCAGTAGTGTCTAGTGTCTCTCAACTGCCAGTTGGTAAGACCTACTACTGTAGACAGAACTTTTTTGAAGAACCTATAGGACT